ATGAAGGGGTCTAGAGAGGCAGCTCCACAGCTGGGAGAACACACTGCTCTTGAGGGTGAGGCAAGTTCGGTCTGCAGCACCCAAGGCAGCTCACAATTGCTTGACTCTTCAGCAGTTGTGAAGAGTCCATGGGCACTACCCGCCCCACACACATGCATTCTGTCTCAGTTAGGGTTTCTATTGCTGTAAAGAGACACCATGACCACAGCAACACTTATAAAGAAAAACATTTAGTTGGGGCTGGCTTATAGTTCAGAGGTTCAGTTCTTTACCACCATGGCAGGTGGCATGCAGGTAGGCATGGTGCTGAAGATGGAGCTGAGAGTTCTACATCTTGTAAGCAACAAGAAGTGAACTGTCTCACTGGGGTGGTTCATATATGATACCACAAAACCTGCCCCCATAATGACACACTTTCTTCAGCAAGACTACATAGGTGTCTTGTGGTCCAGTCACTCTACGCCTCTTAACAGTGCCACTCCCTCTGGGGCCATTTTTTTTCAAACTATCACATACCACTCCCTAGCCCCCAAAGGCTTATAGTCAAATCATAATGCAGAAAAATGCATACAGTCCAACTTCAAAAGTTCTCATAGTCTTTAACAGTCTCAATAATGTTTAGAAGTCCAAAGTTCAAAGTCTCTTCTGGGATTTATGTGATCTCTTAACTGTAACCCCTTGTAACATCAAAATCAAAAAGCAGATTACATACTTACAGCATATAATGGCACAGAGCGTACATTACTATTCTAAAACATAGTGAAGGGAGCAGAGTGCAGACAAACTAAACCAAAGCCTGATTAAAAACCAGCCGGACAAACTCTACATCTCCACGTCTCAAAATACTCTCCACATCTCCAACTCCCATTAGCTCTGTTGACTTCAACACACTTCTTTCTCTTGGGCTGGTTCCACTCCGGTTGGCAGCTCTCCTCAGCAGGTATCCCAGGTTCTGACATCTCTAATGTTTTGAGGTCCTCAAGGCAACCCAGACTTCTAAGCTTTTCTTTAGTTTCTTTCCACAAGTTGAAAAGTTTGCTGAGCTGGATCACCACTCCCTTTATTCTATTTCTTTGTGTTCTTTGTTAAAATTGTTTTTACTGAGCTATAAAAAGGATAACAAGCCTACAGTTCACAACCCCAGAGAACCCAGACAACAAAGAGGACCATAAGAGAGACATCATGGATCCAGACATCATGGATCCACTTAGGAAGGAGAAAAGATCTCCTGAGTAAATTGAAAGGGGGGGGGGGGGGGGCAGAGGAAGATAGAAGTGGAGAGGGGAAGAAGGAAGGGAGTGGGAAATATTTATTCCACTTCTTAATCTGTCTATCTGCTTGAACACAGGATTTAGCTCCAGACCAGTTCCTACTGCCTACAAGATGAAAGACTCTCAGCTCTGTCTCTCCAGCACCATGTCTGCCTGCATGCCACTATGGCCTACCATGATGATAATGGAGTAAACCTCTGAAACTGAAAGCCACCCCAATTAAATATTTTCTTTCAAAAGAGTTTCCATGGTCATGGTGTCTCTTCACAGCAGTATAAACCCTAACTAAGGCACACACACACAAACATACACATCATTTTTTAAAAAGTAAATCTAAGCTAGCAACCTCTGAGAGAGCAGGCCTGAGTCAGCGACCTCAGAGGGAGCAGGCCCCAGTCAGCCACCTCAGAGGAGGCAGGCCCTAGCCATTGACCTCTGTGGAAGCAGGCTCAAGCCAGTGACTTCAGCAGGAGCAGGTCCCTGACAGCAACCTCCATGGGAGCAGACCTGAACAACCTCCAGTATTGCAGAGAGACCTTCAGGAGTGCCAAGTGACCTCAGGGAAGATTAGAACTGTGCCCCCAACTCTACCACAAGAAGAAACCATCTGAGACATGGCACCTGGAAGAATGATCATCAGAGACACGGACCCAACTACACCAATCAGAAGAAAAGATGGGTAGACAACAAGGTAAGAGCACACTCAACCCCACAAAGTGCAACATGGTGCCACCAAAAGCTAGTGACTACAACAGCAAGACTTGAACACCCCAACACAGATGAAGCAGAAGAAAATGGCCTAAAAAATAACTTTAGGAAAATGTTTGAGGCCCTTAAAGAGGAAATAAAAGATTCCCTCAAAGAAATGAGGGAAAAGACAAACAAAAAATTGGAAGAAATCAATAAATTTCTTAAAAGAAAACCAAGAAAAGCCAATCAAACAAGTGAAAGAAATGATTCAAAACTTGAAAATTGAAATAGAAACAATAAAGAAAACATAAATCGAGGGAGATCTGAAAATGGAAAAAAATGGAAAATCAGGAACCACAAGTGCAAACATAAATAACAGAATACAGGAGATAGAAGAGAGAATCTCAAGTGTTAAAAATATGATAAAGGAAATAGACTCATCAGTCAAAGAAAATGTTAAATCTAACAAAAGTTGACACAAAATATCCAGGAAGTATGGGCAACATGGAAAGACCAAATCTAAGAATAATAGGGATAGAAGATAGAGAAGAAATCTAACTTAAAAGCACAGAAAATATATTCAACAAAATCATAGAAGAAAACTTTCTTTGCCTAAAGAAAAATATACATATGAAGATTCAAGAAGCTTACAGGAAACCAAATAGACTGGATCAAAAAAAAGTCCCCTCACCATATTATAATCAAAACACTAAACATACAGAATAAAGAAAGAATATTAAGAGCTGCAAAAGAAAAAGACCAAATAATATAGAAAGGCAGACCTATCAGAATTACACCTGACTTCTCGATGGAAACAATGAAAGACAAAAGGTCCTGGTCAAATGTTATGCAGACACTAAGAGACCACAGATGTCAACCCAGACTACTATACCCAGCAAAACTTTCAATCACTATGGATGGAGAAAATAAGATAGACCATGACAGAACCAGACTTAACCAATACCTAGCCACAGAATAAAGAAAATATGGTACATTTATACAATGCAGTACTACACAGTGGAAAAATATAATTACATCTTGAAATTTTGCGGACAAATGAATGGATCTAGAAAACATCATATTCAGTGAGGTAACACAGTCCCAAAAAGACAAATATAATATGTACTCATTTATGAGTGACTTTTAGACATAAAGCAAAGAAAAAGCAAGCCTACAGTTCACAACCCCAGAGAATTTAGACATGGAAGCATGGGGACCATGGGAGAGGGTAGAAAAGGAGGGAGGAGGAAGTGAGGGGAGCAAAGAAAAATATATAGCTCAATAAAAACAATAAAAAAGAAAATACAACTTCCATCATGTTAACTTTCTAAGATTTGGAGGTTGTGTCTGTTACAAGATTTAGCCAATCTTGATAGTTCATAAACATAGGATGAAAATAGAAAATAGGTTTGTACAATTATAGATCAAAGGAACTGGAAATCTAATGAGTTAAATGTAAAATGGTGAAATTTAGAACAAAACATTTTCTATAAGGCGATATCGTCTTTAAAAAAAATTTTAAAAACAAAACATGATTAGGCTAATTGTTATGGATTTCTTCTGCTGAAAGATTTTTAGAAAACAAATGTTCGTGTAGCGATGTATTAAGGCTGTGATATTGGACATAAATGCCAAATACCTCTGTGTTAAATTTCCTTTTCATAATGGAGACTACAGGAGATATAATTCAACAACAATAAACAATAACATTCAAAATTTAGGTAAGCTTACAATAAAAATATAATATTTTTCCGCACATAATAAAATAATTGTTATTAGGTCTTAAGACAATGATCACTACAAATATCTTATTTTTAGAATAAACTTCGATTCAGGTTTATAGCATTAAGATGAAAAACATTACCTCTCTACCTGTGCTCTCCTCTCTCAAAAACAAGTTTTTCAAGACTCTTATCTTGTCCAGTTTAATTTGTTGTTTTTTTTTTTTTGTGGTGTTTTCGAGACAGGGTTTCCCTGTAGCTTTGAAGCCTGTCCTAGAAACTAGCTCTTGTAGAGCAGGCTGGCCTCAAACTCATAGAAATCCACCTGCCTCTGCCTCCTGAATGCTGGAGTTAAAGGCATGCACCACCACCGCCCAGCTTTAAATTTTTTTTTAAATAGTAATAGCTATTAGTGCCTTCTCAGTTTCCTTAAAGCCTTATCCATAACCAGACTAGGCTCCTGCACTTGCAATCAAGGGTCTTTTGCTTTATACTAAACATTGTCTCTTTAATGGTAAAGACTTTGAGATTATGTGTCGTTAATACTTTAAAAAAGAAAAATGATCTGATCAGCAGTCTAACTTAAAACTGGTAATACAGAATCTTTGTTAATTAAAAATCTATCCTTACATATGGATTTGAGTGTACATGCTTATGTTTTTACATAGTTTATGTGATACCAACTTAGCCACATGGTCAGATGAATTAAAGTTTTTAAATTATCCCAAATTTCTCTTATTCTATAATGTAACTGAAACTTTAAAACACAAATACATGTAATCAAACAGTCTTATCAAGAGGCTGTGTGGTTCACTAAGATCTCCACTCTGTCTCCAAGGGACCTAAGATGCCTTTGTCTCTTGGGAAAATATACTGACTTTGGGGACGGTGGCTTCTTCTGCAAGGTACAGCCTCATCCTTTGGAACAGCGACTCTCATCTGGGAACTGTGTAACAGAGTCCTCTGACTCTGCTATTCCTACAGTCCAAAGACTGGTACACTGCCTTAGCTCTGTGTTTTCGGCTTCCCTTGAACAGTTACTGTGTTCACCTACAGAAGTATACATTACACAAAATGAAAACAAAAATGCCAAAGTATTTATCCTGGGAGAGCGCTGCATCTTTCTAGCTCACAAGCTCTCGTTCTTCTGTAATTTTAGAGCACACTTCTGGGAGGTGTTTAGCAACTCACTAGCACTGGCGAAAAGGGGATAGTGGCGCCTAGTAATTCTGTGAAGGAAATGGAAAAGCAAGTTTCTGAGCAGAGAAGGCAAAATTGAGAAAAGAATAGAAAAAAAAACTCAAAAGCAGACTGTGTCTATTTCCCTCTGGCCTTATATTGTACATGTTCATACCACTATTGCTGGTTTTATGTCAAGACAGTTGAGAACTCAGGATCACCCATAGACGGAGCAGGTGGGCTTCTGCGGTGTGATTTCTGGGGCAGGAAGACTCCAGGCCCCCAAATAGGTTCTTCTCCCTGGTTTGACAGGGCACATTAAGTAGCAATTGCCTCAGGTTTCTCCATTTAAATGCAAATAACTCAGGAAAAGATAGTAAGTTATGAGAGTCATTAGACATCAGCGTGATTAGCTTATTAGAGTGCTTTCCTGGAAGACTCCTGAGGGAGTCCGCTACAAAAATGGCCGCAGCGTAGGGATCTGTCCACAGTAAGGCCCACAGTTTCAATCTCCACCACAGTACGGACTCCAGGACTGGCCCTGTCTGCTTCTTGGGTGTGTAGGAGTTGAGCAGGAGGCCGCGAAGCATCAGAAGTGTCTGCTCTGACAAGCAGAATCGACCACACTGAAGGCCTGAGGGGAAGGAGCACGGATCCATGTCAGAGGTCTTGATTCTTGGCCAGAAAAGCAGGCAAGGACATGAGGAGAAAGCTAAGATTCCAGTGATCAAAAAATGATTAGGCTGGAAAAATATCCAGCCTAATTATTCATGCATGAAAAGTAAATTAAACAAGATACCAGATTTGCCCATAAAATGAAAAAAAAATGGCTATAAAATGATGACACTCGGAGCAGAAGACTACGGATGAAAATGGGCTGTTGGTGGGAATACAAATTGTCTATTTAGCATCATGGATCAAAAGACCTTAAATGTGTGAACCAGCAATTCTAGCTCCAAGAGCAGACTGGAATAAATAAATGAGAATGTGCATCCAATTCAGCTTTTTCCCCACAATAGTGCTTGTAATCACAGAGGTACCAGGAATTTTCTAAATGACCGACAAAAAATTTGGTCATAAATCATGGTTCAAAACCACAGCTGTATACTACTCCTATTTTGAAATGCCATGAAAGTATATTTATTAAGAGGGAAAATGATTAATGATCCTCCAGACAACAGCTGTCAACGGATGGACCGCACACTGACGTCAGGTATTTTCTGTGTAGGTATCTCTTCTTATCGAGAGCTATTTGCTGAAACACGAATAGTAGCTACAGATGTTGTGAAATCATGAAGTCTTTCCTTTTCATTCGTTGTTTAGCTACCCTGCTAGAAATGTCCCCGATAACTGTGTTCACATATGTTGGAACCTGAGTAAAGAGGCATTCAGTGGGAAGAGAAATTCTTATACAAGGACAACTCTTTCGGTTTGAGCCAAGGATTTTAAATCGGCTTCCCGATGTAGTCCGTAAAACTCTGAGGAAAAGGGATAAGAAATGCGTGAAAAGAGTTTTGAAGCCAATAAATCTCCCGTAGCATCAAAGAGGAGGAAGGCTGCAGCTCCGTTATTTCCACTCAATTGCCTGTGAAAAGAAAAAAAATATGGTTTCAGCAATGTTAACAGCAGGTCTCTCAGCTGAATTGGAAAACTCGTCTCAACAAAGGCAAACAGGAGGCAAGAGAGTTAAAAGCAGCCTTGGAGAAGTGCATCAATTAACACAAGGACTCGTTCAATTCGAGGGGCTGCAGCGTGAGCAGTCCTTCCGGGCCCTCAGCCTTCCACGAGTCTCTCTCCGTTCCTCCTACCTGTGGTGGGACTGGGGGGCTGGCCGCACTACTGTGCTACTGCGCATTGCCCCTGAGCATGGGGCGCAGGCAGCCGCACCACCAGCCAGGACAACTGCACACAGAAACAGTAGAGAGCAGGTCTTCCCTTCCTGATTTTGCTAACTCTGCACCCAAATTCGTCCATTGCTTCACAAATCCATGACCCAAGGAGAGCCCTGCAGTTCAGCACAGCCGCTAGAGCTGGCCAATGAGCGCTCTCCTCCAAGCACCCTGCTCAGAGCAATCACAGCATCTCAACCCTCAGACACCGCTCCAGCAGGGGTGAAAACCATAAGCAAAGGGACTAGGAGAGCTGCCTCCAGGGTTGTTCTCTGGTCAGGGTTCCCCTCCTCTTCACCCTGTTTTTATGAAGAATAAGGTCTCCCCGCTTGACGAGACTTGCTTTGCAAACACAGTGGTACTAGACCTAGAATCCAGTACAAGGAGTGGGTAAGACAAGACACATCCAGTCGTGGAGTTAACATTCTGGTAGAAGAGACAATGAACAACAGCGAACTAGTAATGAAATGATGATAATAGGGACAGTGGAGTGAGATGGAGCCCTGGGCCAGCCTAGGGACCGGTAGGTCCTGGGGGGTGATGTAAGACCAAAATCCATTCAGTGTGGAATGGGGAGCCAGCTGAGGAGTTTTAGGATGGAGAGTAACATGATCTTTATATACACATATACACACACACACACATATACACAACACATACATATATACATACATATAAGTGTACATGTGTGTATATGTATATACATATATTTATGTGTGTGTATAATTTCTAAATTATTTTTAAAGCTGTTGACTGACATACTATGGAATTTTACAGGACACTCTTCCAGGGTCTTTATTTAAAATGCATTGTAACCTTTTCCCTCACTCCCATTTATTTAGATAATGAAAGTGCTGGGCATCTGACTGGGAGCTCTGAACCCAGGCAGACACACTTTATACAGCAACCGCACACGTAAACTCAAGGGCAAATAAAGTCACCAAGGTAAGGGGGTGGAAACTGGTGAGGAAGAACCGTCAACCATGGAGCCAAGCACTGCTAAATTCACTCTCGGAGTCCTTGTTCCCTGCCTGCTACCAGCGCAGTCTTGGCTGGCTTCCATCCTTAGAAGTTAGTGATAAAATAGCATGAAACAAGCATTTCCATAGTTGGAGGTTATTGAAATGTATCTGAGCCATCCCTGTGGGTTCCTGAATTGGTACCATGCTGTAGGAGCACATTAGGGTTTAGTTTCGTATCATAACACTGAGCATGCTCAGCTGGGTACCACAGCCTCAGATGAATCAGATAGCAACAATACCTACACGCTTCTCCTCTGTGTGTCGTTTATTCTTTTCTCCGAAAGTGATGAAATTTTGGAAACAGACTTTGGCAAAGAAATGTTCTTATGCTAAATATAAAGGGGAGGATAGATATCCTAACCCACTCCGATTTCTAAGCACTCTTAAATATCGGTATGACTCTACCAAAAGTGTTGCCTTTTGGTAAAATCTTATGCTGAATTAGTAGGCCAGGTGAGTTGCAATCTGCCTCTAATCCACAGAGGACTTGGCAGGGCGGCAACTGTTCTGCAGGATGAGTAGTCTGAGGAGCTCTGACGCAGCCCCTGTGACACAATGCTTAGTGTTGTATCATGCGGTCGCCTAGGAGACAGGGCTTCTAACAGTCACTCTTGACCTGATTACAATGTCTGCCCTACAAGTGAATTCATACACTTTAGAAACCAATTTTATCAAATAATAAATTGAGGAGCCTGGAGAAAGTTCTACAGTGTGAAGAGGAGTGTGTGGAGAGACAGGGACGGTGAAGACGCCACTCAAGAGAAGCTCTTCTGACAGGACTGAGAGGCAATGTTCCAGGATAGACTGGAGACCAAAGATGGGTGGGTAGTAAGTTCCAAACTTGGAAGAAAGGTAGGAAGGCCTCAGTGTCCAACAGACCTTCCCGTGGGTTTGTCTGCCTTCCAGTATAGCAGCACAGCCACCCACCTCATCCAATCAAGGTGGGGAGTTACCAAGAAGGAATCGTTCAGATTCAGTGTTCAGAGCCAACACTACAGTGTTGTGTGCCATCTCAGCCTTCACTGTCTCAGATAAGCAACTGTAATACTGGGCCATGAGATAGAAATCTCAGCCCTGGTGCTGGAGAGATGGGACAGCAATTAAGAGTCCTTGTGCCTGCAGAAGCCCTGGACTGGCTTTCCAGCACCCACCTGGTGGCTCACAACCATCCTTAACTCCAGTTCCAACACCAGTTGGAACACCTTCATCTAAACTCTCTGGGCACTAGGAGCACACATAGTATACATACATACATACATACATACATACATACATACATACATAAAGACAAAACACCCACACACACAAAATAAAATTAATTAAAAAATTCTCCAAACCATAGCTTCCCGCTTATCTGAAGTAAACAAACTCTTATCTCCTTCACTCAAGAGTAGAAACACTTCTTGTCAGTCATTTTTCTCTCAAAGTCATATTTCTTAGACGTTGTTTTGCTTTTACACAAGGTCTCACTATGTATCTCAGGCTGGCCTTGACTTTGAGACATCCCTGCACCCGGCTGCTGAGTGCTGGAATTACATACACATGTGCATCATCATGGAAGTACTGAGAGTTTGAACATTCTTTTTTTTAAGTTACATTTTTTAAAAAAACGATTGTATGTGTGTTGGCGGTGAGGCTGCAAGGGCAGGCAGCATGTAGCAAGGCACATGCATGGAAGTCAGGGGACTGCTTTGGGGAGCTGATTCGTTCCTTCCACCCAGGGCTCTAACTCAGGGGTCTCCACTGGAGACCAAATGTTTCTATCTGCTGAGTCACCTTACTGAGTCTTAAATGTTCTTTTAAGTCAGCTAAGGGTAGGCAAGGGCTCAGGATGAGAGGCCTGGCAACCTGAGTTTGATCCGTGGCACTGACTCAAAGTGGAAGGACAGAACTGAGACCACAGAGTTGCTGTCTGGTCTGCACACATGCACCCCTTCATGCCTGCCCCACCCACACCATATTAATCCTTCTTATAATGGACTATCTGGTCCATATAATGAGATACTTTATCCAAAAACATGTGTTTTGAAATGTCAGCTAGAGAGGGAGCTAGCATGTGGGTTTTCAATGCCCAGCTCAAAGCAGAATATGTGTTTAAAGCTTTCAATACGGTGACACTCGAATATATAAATGCACCTTAGAAATTGCTGTCACCTTCCAAAACATGACTCAAGTCATAAATGAAGAGCAGAAGGCCATTGGTGAGAGACCTTGAAGCCACTGACAAAAGATTCAGAACGACTGTGGAGTTCATTGTGGTAGCTGGGTGTAAAAATCATTTCCCTGCTTAGAGAAAACATTGGATTAGAAACATACACACACGGAACATCTCTCATCCTGTCTCAGTTCTCTGGAGACAGACTCTGGGGTGGAGGCAAGCATCCCACAAACTGAGAGAGCAATGTAGAAACCCATAACTGAGAGAGGTGTTGAGAATTGGCAGAGGGCAAATCTAAACTTTATTGCTGATACAAGACAAGGCAGAAAAGAGCCGTGGTTGAGCCATCTTCTGATGGTGGGGCAGGGCATCAATTGTCCAACCTAGAAACAATGGGTTCAGACTGTTTTCACTGGTGAATCATTGTATAGCGACTGTCCTTGGGAAGAGATGTCAACTTAGATGAGGTGGCTTCCTTGGGCAGAGGGAAATTCCTCAGGGGGAACCATGGGTGGTGGCTGCATTCCCTGCATCTGGAAGATTTCATACCTCAGTCCTAAAAACAGCAACACACATCACTGAGCTCCAGTTGGTCCGGCCTTGGAGCTGAGCTTCCCAGGAAACGCTGAAGTACCTGAAGTTCCTTCTGCCTTTGGATTTGCTTCTTCCTTCTGCTAGTCTTCTCTGGTCACTGATTCCACCTGTTGTCCAACTCGAATCTCCCACACTCTGTCCACAGTCTCAAATGTCCACGGAGGAGGGAAAGGCCTCCCTCTCTGGAAGACATGTGATCTGCACCTCACCTTTTTCCTCCAGGCATTAATGCTCAGGGGCTCCTGACCTGCATTCAGTCTGGAATTTGCAGAGATAAATAGGACACGATATCTTCTGAGGAAATTCTCAGTCTCTGAGGTGAAATAAGTGAAATCACATCTCAACACACCTCAAAACAATATGCTAAGATCAATGGCCAATGTCATGTACAAAGTCCCCGCCCCATTTTTCTTGTATTTAATATAATTACATTATTTTTCCCTTACCTCAAGAAGACTATTTCTCCTACTCATTCACAGCATTCCTTAGTTGCCTGTGGTTCTTTGTCTAGAGTCGAGGCCTCATAGATCTCCCCGTCCACTTCACATGCCTACTGTTGGCCTTGTTCAACTCGTGACTGGACGGCCATGTTAGTGAGACTTTCTGGGTGTCACTTCTGACCTTGCTCACTATCTCATAGTAACTCTCTGATCCTCTTACAATCTTCTAGCTCCCTCTTCTGCAAGCTTTCTGAGCCTGGGATTCAGAGCTGTTTTGTAGACATGTCTATTAGGACTGGGTTCCACAACTCTGTATTTGGTGGGTTGTGGCTTTCTGTAATGGTCTCCGTTGCAAAGAGAAGTTCATTGGTGAAGGGTGAGGACTACACTCATCTGTGGGCAGAAGGAAAAGTATTTAGAATGTAATTAAGGTTTGTTCTGGTTTAATAAAGTGTCAACTGTAGGTTCTTTTCCAAGATTCATGCCTTCACTAGCCCTGGTAAGTTGACAATGCTTTCAGTACCAGGCATGGTTTCCCTCTTATTGAGAGGATCTTAAATCCAATTGAAGAGCTTTGGTTACCAACAAACTGGTGTGGGAGGTCCTTCTGTCTCTGTGTTGCTTTTATTGGTTAATGAATAAAGAAAACTGGCTTGGCCTATGGCATGGGAGGAGGAAGGCAGAGTTAGGGAGAAGCTATGGAGCCACCGACAGAGTCACACATGCCGAAACTTTGCTGGTAGGCCATGACCTCATGGTGCTGTACAGATTAAGAGAAATGGTTTAAATTCAGAGTTAGCCAATAAGAAGCTAGAGCTAATGGGCCACTAAACACTAAAAGCAGCGTTTTAATTAATATAGTTTCTGTGTGATTATTTTGGGTCTAAGATAGTCTCATTGCAACACTGAACCATTAGGGTTGTTGCGTCATGTGAGTTATTGGTGCGGTTCATAGCTGTCACAGCTGGATCAGACTGTTGGCTTCTTTGACTGCATGGCGCTTGCTGGTGACATGAAAAGCTAGTCCTCAGAGAAGAGACATTCAGGTCAGTTCCAACTCAGGTCCTCTCTGTCTGAGGTGCATGGTGTCTTTGGCAATAAGAACTTACCCTCCACCTCTAGGACCACCAAGGACAATAGAAATAAGCTGTGTGTTTGGAGTGTCTCTTGAACAACCTTGACCAACAACTCAAAAAAAGAGTTTTTCATGCCTGGTGTCAGGGATTTGATTAGGTGGCACCTGGGTCTTGGAGGAAGTATCATCCGTCCAGATGAGGAAACTTCAGTAAACTATCTACGTATACTTCTATATAGAATTATGTGTATTATAGGTTTTAGATAATTAGTGAATAATATAATTACTTATGACTTTTTCAGACATCGTTTTATTTTACCCTCCTCCTCCTCCTTCTGTATCAATCTCTCTCCTCCCTATAGAATTCCCCGCTTTGCCATCTCCCCAGTTGGATTCCTTGAACGCTGTTTATTCCCTTTTCTATCATCCACCTCCACTACCCTGGCAATGGTCCCTTTACTTTCTTGGTTGCTGAGGTTACGCCAGGATATGTACTCACATCTGAAGATTTGGAGTTAGGAGTCTCTGGTGAGAAAGAAAATGCAATGTTTGACTTTCTGTGTCTGGGTTACCTCCTCCAACAGGATCTTTTCTAGTTCCATCCTTTTATTAGACTGGATCCTGGAGAGAAAAAAATTGATTTTTTTGAGACTCAAAGGGAAAGAATGGCCAATGTCTGATTGGAAATCATTGGTGGAAGATTCCCAAGGGCTGAGATTTTGGTTGTGCACACCACACCCATTCTTGGTCAGTATGGGGCACTTTTAAAGAAGATGCCAAAATGCCATCTGCCCTTTCCTCCCTTGAGGACACAGTGAAGAATCGCCATCTCTGAGCTGGGAAGCAAGTACTCTAGAGACACTGAACGTCCTGGCACTTGGACCAACTCTGCAGCCTCCAGAGCTGGAAGGAAACCTGTTTTCATTGTTTAAGACAACACTGCTATATAACAGTAGCTTGGCAGACCAAAACAATCATAAAAGGCTTTCAGTTGGATGCCTGCTCAGGTGCTCCATCCAAAAGACAGACACGGCCCTACTAGCTGCTGGGGGAAAGTGGACGCAAAGGGTACTGTGTCTCCCTGCCTTGCACCTGCCCTTTCCTCCCACTTCCTGTCTCCACAGCTCCCGTATCTCTAGCTGCAGGAGTGTTTCTCTAATATTGTCTCTACAAAGGAGAGCTTGATCTACAATGGGTCCAAACAATAGAATGGGGTGTATCTGAAAGTCAAACCAAACTCCCAGTA